CGCCCCTAAAACCCTCTTCAAGTGGGGTTTTAAAGCAAAGAAAAGAGGAAGGAGAAGCCATCTACCAGCCACCCTAGCAAGCAAATCGTGTGAGGGGAGAGGAGGAGAAAGATTTAAAGCAAGAGGAAATGCGAACTGGGGCAGAGAAAGGGTCGGCCAGGTGGAACATCGCAGTTGGGGGAACGTTCGGTCGAGCAGAGCTCGAGGCGACGAGCCGCGTGCGCGTGTGCAATCAGCGGCAAAAGGCCGCGTGTGAGGAGGCGGGGAAGACGATTTCAGCGGCCAAGGGTTCGACCGTCGAGCGGTCGCGGGAGCTAGGGCACGGGCGACTAGGGCACGGGCGAAGGGCGATCACGGGACCGAGCCGGGCACGGGCGAAGGAGGATTTAATCGTGCAAGGAGAAAGGGAAATATATATTTAGGGTTTTATAAATATTATATAATTAAAAAGAATAAATATACTTAATTATTTTTTTTAAAGTATATGAAAAGAATTTGATTTGCACATTTTAATTTGTGTGAAATAATTGCAAATTGGACACCTCTTTTAGGTAATTTCGACATTTCGGACGTTCCAGCGCAGTCCGATTCGCCGTCGGAAGTCGTTTTGACGAATTCATCGATTTGCGTGCCAATTTTCTCATGTCGAAAATATGGCAATATGGGTGTCCATTCCTACCAAAATGGGTATCCCGGACGCGTTGCCACAGTCCAATTTGTCGTCGGAGGTCATCCGGAGAAGTTCGCATTTTCGCCCGTCCTTTGGGCTTAATTGAAGTCCGATTTCGTGTAATTTCGTGAACTTTGTGTATTTTGTGTGTGTATGTGACGAAAAAGTCGTGACAAATATCTTCCTAAGGCTTAAAGTTCTATTGGGAACTTTTCATCTGAGTCTTCACAAAATAGCCCATAACCGCTCGTTCATAAGACGATGGTCTTGTGCCATAAATGTTAGACATCAAAGAAAAATAAGAAGTGGCTGAAATTTCTAAAAGGGTGAGTCTCAATTCTAGTTTTCTAGGATGGTCAGTAGGAATTTCTAGAGCTAGAATCTAGGCTCTAAGGAGGAGAAGACAAGACCTCACAAAAATGAGGTCAACATCGGGAAGACGCGGAAAGGGATAGGGATGAGGTCAACAGGCATATAACTCAAATGGGAATTCTTTAGATTAGCAAAACAGAGCTTTCCTTCATTTGGTTAACATGAGAAGTGAAGCAAATTAAGAAAAAGATTGGGCCCAGGATTGCGTGAGAATAGGGTGGAGAAGAGATCGAGTGAAGGCTCCGGGTTACAATCTAGGGTGTTGTAATAGAGGATTGTGCGACATGGAGGAGTTTGGCAAGCTCACGCACGAGACAGACCAAGCAAAGAATATTGAGACTTAGGAGGCATGACATGGAGTGTGGTTCGGTGCGAGGGCTAGAGCAGAGGATCGCACAAGGAATGAGAGCCATGCAAAGACTTTAGGGTTGAGTATATCACGACACAGGGAAAAAGAATAGCAGGTGCATTGAACTAGGGTAGAGTACGCAGCGTGCGATCTTTTGCAGTAAGGAGGAGCGGGGCACTGGGAGATCGGGACGCGACAGAGGCAAGAATACTTTTGTCATGCATGGATTTTGAATAGAGAAATAGAATGAGAGCATTTGGAAGGCCAAGACAGCCCTGCATATAGTGATTAGTGAAGAAGATAAATAATGCGAAAGAAGTAAAGGGATAGTGACTTACGTTGCATAACTTTCAAATTGGAGAAGAAGAACCAAACAGGGAGGATGAATGTCAAAGAGGAAAAACAAACAAAGTGTAGGAACAAAAAATAAATAGACGGGGAGAAAATGTGCGAATGAATGTCAAAGAAGCTTTCGTTCGGGCTTGTAACTGTGCAAGAGCGGGAGCAGTTACTACACATTCTAGAGGCTCCAACAAAGAGGAAGAGGTAGATAATTAATTTAATTTGATTAATTATATTATATTATTTATTTATTTATTATTTCTTTTTTCTCTTGTTTGTTTCTTCTTTCATGTTTTCTCTTTTTTTTTTATACAATCAACATCTACTTCCTTGTAAACTCTCCTGCAACATTATCTCTAAAAGTCTTCTACCTACCTATAAAAACTGCAGGAACTGCATTCAAAGACAATTGCATCATGGAATGAGACCACAAGTTCTTCACAAAATCTCAGTTGCCCATTATTTGATGTTTTCAAATTCAAGTTGAACATGTTTTTCAATCATATTTCAACTTAATGGGGAGTGTTAGAACATATAATTTATTCTTGTGAAAGGTTATGAGAGAAATTATTTCATTGAATTGGATTTATTTTCTTCCTATTTTAGGCTTTCCTATTTTATATTATTTCTTTTATCTCCAAAACAATTAATATGAATTGATTATATTAGGAGTTATATCTTTCATTTCCTGTTATTTCTTTTTTCATTATCTTTCCTATTCTAGGATTCATGTAAGGGTTTTTTATATCTCATTTTCATATCAATAAAATTATTCTGTATTATTTTAAATTCCAACAGAAATTATAACTCTAAAGATTATTGTTAATAATAAGATTTTTAATGTTATAAGAGTTTATGCTCCCAAAACATGTTCGAATATATATTCAAAAGAAAGAAATGAAATGATCTACACAAAATAATACAAATGATATCTCCTGAAAAAAAAAGGAGATTTAAATAGACATGTTTATAGAATGATTGAAAATTTTAGAAGTATTCATGATGACTATAATTTTAGATTGACTAATAAAGAATGTTGTATTTTACTTTAGTTTATAATTTTGTTATTGATAATACTTTATTTAATAAAAGAGATGGGTGTATTATCATTAAGAAAAATGAGTATAATAATACAAAAATTGATTATTTTCTCATGAAAAAATAGATCGTCAAAACTGTAAAGATTGTAAGGTTATTTCCATGTGAAAAATTATGACTGTAAAGATTGAAAGATCATTGTTGATTTTTAAAAAAAAAACTTATGATAAGGTTTCAAGAGAAGTGTCCTAAAACATTTTAGAAAAGAAAGTATTACTATTGCTTATATTCAATTTATTAAAGATATATACTAGAGTTGTTATTTGTGTTCGAATACAAGCATGTTTGACCAAGCATTTTCTTATTTTAGTTGGATTATATGAGGATCGTCTTTAAAACCATATCTTTGTATTTAGGTGGGGTTGTTCATAATGTATCATGACGTATGCTTGAGAGTTCAAGTAACATTAGAGTCTAAAGGCTTTCGTTTGAGTACATCTAAAGCTGAATACATAGAATATAATTTTAGTAGTAGTAAATCTAGTAGCAGGATTATAACAATGGGTAATTGAGTCATTAAAATAAGTGAATGTTTTTGATATATCAACTTTATTGTTCAAAGTATTGGTGATATAGATGGAGATGTATTAGTAGCAAGTTGGATGGTTGAAGTGGAGGAATGCATCAAGCCTATTGCGTGACAGAAAATTACCGTTCAGATTTAAAAGAAAAATTTTATGAGACAATATTTAGACCTGCAATGCTTTATGGCACAGAATATTGGCCTGCAAAAGAGAAGCATAAATTTAACACTTGCTGAGATGAGAATGTTTAGGTGATGAGTGGTTTTACACTTAGAGACAAAATGTGAAACAAATATATCCATGAAAGGGTTGGAGCAGCTCTGGTGGCAGACAAGATTAGAAAATCTCCTTAGATGGTTTGGTCACATTAAATGTCGACCATCAGATGGCCCAGCTAGGAAAGTTGACATTTTAAATTTGACTTATATTAAAAAAGGTAAAGGTAGACCTAAAAAAATTTTGGCATGTTGTAAGAAAATGATCTTAATTTATTAGAACTAAGTGAAAATATGACACTTAATAAGACGTAATGGAAAAAAAAGATTCATGTAGCCAACCCCACTTAATGAAATATGTGCTCGTTATTGTTGTTGATTCACTAATAACTCTGCAAGAAGCATAACAGTTTTAACACACATGAATAAATGTCACATAATTCATTAGAGCCATTTTTTTTTAAATTGGGTAGAACGATGCTAATAGAAAAGCCTATAGACTTCCTTTCCTTATGGAGCAATGTTCTGCTAAGATTATCACAATTAGTAATTTCATTCCTTGAGTGGTACTTAGGATTGCATAAATTTGTGAATATTTTACTCCTGGGATTGAAGCAATTAATTGTTTTTAACTACCAACCTTGTAGAAATCATATTCTGTGATTTGTGGCTTTGTAGCTGCAAGTTGCACTTTCCTATCGTCTTCCTTCTTTGGTTCTTTTGGCTAGCAATACGGCACAGCAATTTCTTGAACAATTTGGAAAAAGGAGGGTTAATTTTTTTCCTTGGAAATTTTGAGAACTTGCCTGAATCCAAGTATGATTAATTATAATTTGCAATTTTAACTGAATCATTAGATGATTCTAAGAAATATCTTAGTTTGAGTCTTTCGGGCTACATATGAAATCCCGAAAGCATTAAAAACTAAATGAACATTGAGAAGTACAATAAAATTTCAAATTATTTTGATTCGTGTGTGCGCTATTGGATGTAAATTTTCTTAACTTCCCACAGGTTTTGATGACTACTTCCAGGGGTGAGTCTTCTTCTACAAGCGTGATCCCTAGATTAACACTTTGGAGATCTCTTTGCTTCACTGTCTCTATGTTCTTTAGTTATCGGTGCATATGAGTGAATGAGTTTTGTCAAGTGCAATGCATGCAAAATTTATTTTTGTGGTTTGAATTTTGATCGTTGTAGAAGCTTATCATTCATTCTTGAATGTTCTGTGAAAGTTTTCAATATTAGCAACGATTAAATTAATGTTTAAAACGAAATAAATGTGTTTATTGTTTTGCATAAAGGTGAATAATCTTTGCTAAAGTTGAGAAGTAATAATCTATGGGCAGTGGTTTATTGTAAGTGTTCGTACATGGACAATACATTTTTTTTTAACATGAATAATACACTTAAACCATACAAAATCTTACCAGTTGGAAGCATTGGCAATCACATTACATATCAGTCCTCCTCTTGAATAAAGCCGAGTTATGTCTCCTACATATGTTGAAAATCTGTTGGTATCAACATTTTTCTTTGATGCTTTGAACTTAACCAAAGAAATTATCTTTGATTTAGGACTTAGATCCACCAGAATAAGTTCGACCTTCTCAACCTTACTCAAAAAATCAGCAACAGCCTCCACAATAACATCAGATGCTTTATCCATATTAAACTGAAAATCTGAAGTTGAAATGGATGGAAATGCCAAAGTAGGGGCATCATTCCATTGTAAATCATTATTTTGTTCATCCTCTCCAGCCTCGTTTCCCTTTTCGATTACCATGGAACAAGAATTATTTTCCTTGTATTTATCCTTAGAAGATGAATTCTCAGAACCAAATTCATCAGTGTCAACTTTCTTCAAAAATTTCATAATCCCTTGTTGAACTTTAGAATCCTCGCTCTTTTGACCAAAAACACCAGATGACAAATTATCAAATAACCCCAAAAGCCTATATGTATTTACAGCAGTTTTAACATCTTCGTCGTTCTGACAAAACGTAATCCTTGAGAATCCTTCGTTCAATTTCGGTAGCACCTTCTTCTGTAGCATCCGGTTGACGACAGCCGCAGCTTTTCCCCCTTGTAGGTTCCCTTCATGCCCAGTTCGCTTCACCGAACGAGATATACAAACTCGAGCAGGCAGATCGAGAACCACTGAGTGCACATTGGCTCGCGTTCCACCGAGTTTCAAGAACTCAGACCGCTGCTCGAGCTCCAAGTTGCATCGATCGATTAAGACGTTCTTACCTTCCTGTAATGCATTAATTGCACTTTGCAAACACTGAGCTTTAGTTCCAGCTTTTCCATTCGCTATAGTGTCCTGCTTGAGATGGCATAAAAATAGTAAGAAAACTAGTTTCGCTGAGCAATAGAGGGGCATTGTAAACTTAAATAAATAAGGAAAGCGAGTAGAAAGGCATAAACAAACTAAGCCCAATGCATGGTAAATGTAAGCTTCAGCTAAAATAAATGCTATAAAACGGCTCTAAGTGATGAAAAAATAAAATAAAATAACAAGTCATTGTACTGCTATATTTTGAAAGAGAATGGAACAAGGACTTCTATAAAGTGATTCCTAAAAAAGGTGCAAATTTTTTTACCAAATCTAGATAGATAGCATAACAAGCCGTGATATTTATAGCTTGAAATAGTGTAGTATTCCCTAAAAAAGAGGAAGAAGTTCGTGAGAACTCGATAACAAGCATACGCTGCAAAAAACCCACTTTGCTTCAGCAGACTTTTATCTAGCTGAATATATTTGCTGGAGTTTCAGGTGAGTGTTACACACAATCAAGAAATATGTACAAAATAGAGCATATCAGAATGAAACTTGAAATCTAACTATGATTCTAGTCCAAAAGGATCAAATCATGAATTCAAAAAGAAAAAACTTCTTACGAAAATGTTATTTAGTGAAAATGCCTCCCTCCCTCCCTCTATCTTCATCAAAGATTGTCAGCTCTCGTTCCCTCAACTTATCTTCAACTCATATTTGTCACCATGCACAAAATTGTTGTCATTACCATTCAAGAATCTGATTCTAGCACCAAGACAATGGCCTCACAAACCAGAACCCCTCAAAAACTCTATGCTAGCTTCCCTCATTGATCTCAAAACAGTTAACTTAAACCCATCCATTTAGATATGCCCCGTTCTTTGAACTTCTTGCTCAACCTTGAGAACAAGATCATTTTGAAGGGAGGATACATGATATTATATTATTTAGTTCCTGTATTAGGTTAATAATAAAATAATTAGCTAAAAATTAGTATTAATGAGATTCTTGTACATCTATAAATACTCCATTAGGAGATATTGGGAAAAACAAAAAAAAAAGAGACAAATTTCTCCCCCAGATATGCGTCTATTCTCATTTCTCCCCCTCCCACTTTCTGGAGTGTCTGCATCTTTGACATGACGCTTATAAAGGTCTCAGCAATTGGATCCTATCAGAAATATACAAATTTTATAGCGACTCCAAGAGTGTACAGAACTAGAAAGAGCGAGAGAAACAATTCTCTGCATTCAACAATTAGGATGACAAATTTTTCTTATCTAGAACACTTATCCATCTAGACATGCCCCATCGGCTCCAATATGAGTACACTTAGCACAGGATTTCCAGGCCAAAGCCAACCCATTACACAAAAAATGGCCCAATTCAATTATTAAGAGTTCCACTCCATTGTTTATTAACAGATTCAACAGCTCTAGCAGGAAAAAGTTCAAATTTGTGAACTAATGCATTGCTAACTATTACATTCAATAAAGAATTATTCGATAGTCCTCACGGAACCCTAAAACATAAAAAGAGCAAAAACAAAAAGAGGGGAGAGTGGAGACCTGACAAATACGAGTCCAGGTGCGTCGAGCGCCGCTAATGACATCGTTACAGAAAGTTGATTTCCCACTTCCAGGAGCACCGACGAGGATTACTATAAGAGGTTTCCCCTCTTTCTGTTCTGAAAAAAGACGGCTGAAATGAGAATGGGTAATCGGGAACAACATAATAATAATAATCATCGAAAGAGAAGGGGAAGAGAGCATATTGGCCGGAGGAAGCAATTTTTACCGCTCAAGAGAGAAGAACTCGAATCTGGCCCTACCGCCATTAGAGTTACAAGAAAGCTTACGATCGCCGGGAGGCGGTGACGATTTTAAAGATGAAATATATGGTCGTGAATTTTGATATTTTAGTGAGAATCTGAAGAATGAATGGAAGTGTAAGATTTATAAATATTTATAAATAGCTATTTTAATAGTGGTTTTATAGAAGATCGTTAAAATAAAAAAAATAAAGGAAAACACACAAGTTGAATGTCCAAGAAAGATTCGTACGCCAACAAGCAGCACCTGGGCTGTTAAAATGATTTGTTTAATTCATTCGTTAAGTTAACGATTGAAACACAAATAACCTTTTTACCCTCGATATATAAAAGAGTCAAACATGAATAACAATTTTTTCGTTCTTGTTCGTCTCGTTTTGACTTAAAATAATTACATATATAAATGATGAGTAATATTTTTAAAAATTTTAATTGATTATAAAGCTACAAAAAGTTAAAATTAATTAAAATTATAAATTCAAAAATAGAATAAAAAATCAATTAAAACTATTATTTAAAGAATATAGATAAAAAATATTAAATTATATTTTAATGCTATTTAATCCATAACATTTAAAGCTAACCCCAATCAATAACACTCTACAATTACGTAATTAGGATTCTCAAAAAGAATTTTTTATTCACGAACAACTTCTGTTGTGAACTTCTTCAGATTTTTTTGAATCTAGTAGTATGAACTCAAATTTCTTCATCAGATTTTTAAATATTTTGGATACGACTTCGTCTATGAAAGAGCACATCATTTTCTATCATTCTGCCAGAGATGCACAAATACATTTTTTATGTTTTAAATATAAACGAGCCGAACACACAAATTTATGCATAGTAAAAACATTATTGTTTTAATTTTGATAAATTTATTTGTATTTTTATGTATTTACATATTCAACACTCGTATTAATATTAATATTATTTTAGTCTTGTCAGACTATGACTAAAAAAGTAAAATCGTGTGGCTGCTGGGATTCGAGCCCAGGTCTCCACGGCCACAACGTGGAATTCTAACCACTAAACTACAGCCACAACAGTGCACAATTGTTTTAAATATAATAAATAATAAATAGTTAACAGTAGAATGATAATATGCTTTTGTTATACTTACTAGTATTGCTATCCAATTTATTACCCAAGTCTAATTATTTTCACAAATTATTTATAAAATGAAATATTTATAAGGGAGTTTCTTAATATTATAGCTTATTTGGTGTGGCGACTGTTTTGAAAATGCACCTGGCCTGTTTGGGTAAACTGCGTTTTGACAGCTTATGCATTTTCAAAACGCTGAAAACAACATTTTCACACCACACATATCTATATGCGGTGAAAAATTTATGACTGAGATCAAACTTTTAGAAAAAAATAAATAAATATTAGTAATAGTCACTGCACCTAGCTTATCAGCAAATTATTCAATAAGCTGCAGCTGCCCCAAACAGACCTTTAATATCATATTTATTAGTGATGCACAAATTATAAATGCATTAATAATATTTTATTTAAATGAATCAAAATAACATTATCTTTAATGTTAGGAATTAAGGTGTTCATTAAGCATATGTTTTGTTATTTAGTATTTATATTCATGGTTTTGTGCATATGGATATTTAATATTTTATTTAATTGGCTTTATTTCACTTTTCTTCTCCTATATTTATCTCTATAAAATCCATCAAATCATTATAAGAACTTGAATTAAGTTCAACAATCATTGATTATAATTAGATTAAATTAAAAAATAAATTGAAACTTAATAAGGCTGAAGGCACAAAATCTCACCCAAACTTAAATCTTACCATGTCATCCAAGAATCAACCCTAGCTGATCTCTTAGTAGTGGGTTATCAAATATGTCCAGTGACTCATAAAGTCACCTCACGAACATTTTTTGTATCCACAGAACTTCTTAACTTGTTAATATTACTTGCTAATTGAATGCAATTCTTGCAAAAAGTACTTATCTCAAATCTAAAACTTACATAAAGTTCCTAACAACTACATTAACTTTAATATTTTGTTTATGCAATTATAATCTTAGCCAGTTTTATAAGACTATCCTTCAACCTTGCTTATAAATAGAGGGTTATTGATTGATCCCATGCATGTGAAATAATGAACCATAAATGAAATGCTATCACATCAAAATCAAAAATAGAACCTTTCTAATACTCTCCTTGAAATTTTTATATATATCTCTCTTTTTGAATTGCTTAAATGTAAATGTAGTTCGATTAACCTACCCTTCTCTGCTCAAAAAGGTTCAAATGAGATCTTTATAATTTAATTCATTGAGAGAATTATTGATACCCGCCCTCTCTCTCTCTCTCTATCTATCAACTTTTATGCCTATTGGAGTAAAATATTTTGCTAGTAAAATCTTATCTTTTATGTGCAATAGTATAACAAACATCCTATTTAGTTTGTTGAACATGAATAATGTCAAATATTAAAATAAAAAAAAAATATATGCATCATCATGAAGACTAAGATAGATCTATGTACAACAAGCAACAAAATTATTATAATACCTATAAATAGAGGCATAGCATTAACTATTCTCCAATAAGGAAGATTCTCAAAATTCTTAAGGGTTTTAGAGTTCTTTTTGAAAAGTTGCTCCTCCTACTCGCTTCTCTTTGTGAGCGTGAATCTATCATCTCTCCTAGATTATGTTATTACATTAAGTCCAAGAATTATTGTTCTAGAAATTTTCTCATATGCACTTCCATTATAAGCTTGAATCTATCATCTCACCTAGGAGCTAACATTACTTTAAGACCAAGAGTTACTGTGCAAGCTCTTTTACAAGATGATAAAACTTACCCCTCATAAGAAAAGTAGAAGACCAACAAGGCATTAGGCTTACCTTACAACTTTTTCTCTATTTTTCTCGTGGAGACTAGGCCCAACTAAATTCTAAATGTTAGTTAAGGCTAATATATTATAAATGGGAGTTAGCACATCTAACTATTTTGATTATTTTTAAGTTGATTGTCATCATCTTTACCATGAGATATATAATGAATTGTAGAATTACATTCATTGCATTCATGGAAGTGCCGCTAAGTTGATTTATACATTTCCTCCTAGAAGAAATGCCTCTTTTTCTTAAATGCATTGTCACACAATATTTTGGGTGCATTGTCACACTTTCTTCATGTTATATCATTACACCGTCTTCGGGATTTGTTGTTACATCGCATTATTCATCAACGCCAATGAGCAGGGGACGGTCGATGGTGGTCCAAGGTCGCAGGAGTAGGAAAAGTTCGTAGGGTCTTCGATCTAGACTAGCACAGAAATTCGACTCCTCCCGATCCAAATCTGGCTCCTAGACTCCCTTCTCAGTCTTGAGCCATTGAGATGGTAGGGCTCTATTTATAGACTCCTATAATAGCCTCCCTTATAAATAAGGAAATAATTCGTTCTCCACCGGACGGTCCGGAGAGATTCTCATGATCGGACGACGTATTATGAACATTTTAGTGCCTTAATGAAAAATCGAATTGCTAATATATATATATATATATATATATAT